CCCCAACCCCAACCCCAACCCTTGAGAGTTTATGATTGTGATATTTGATTAATGTGTGTTAATATCTATAATAATAATAATTCATTCACTTATTGCTTAGATTGATAAATTTGAGTTATAAGGGAAACAGAAACCCAGGGCAATTGAACATTGAAGTATTAAAAAAAAAAATTGTTGTATCGATTTGATAAGATTGATAAGACTTAATTATATTATGAATTTGAGTGCAATTAATAATTTAGATTTGAATGATTATTATCGATATGATTATCAATTATGAATCAAATATTAATCAAAATCAAATTGCATTAATTTTTAGTTTATTAATTACATTTTTTAAAAACTGTATAAATTGCCTTCTTTTTATATTATTCTTTATCAGCATTCATTAAATAAACTTATATTTCTGAATATATCAAAAACTTGAAAGGTATAGTCAGTGGACTTATTTAATGTCTAATAATTTATATTTTTTACTTATTATTTTTCAGAGAATATCTCTATTAACCATGTTAAAAGTAAACCTGTATTAAAATAGAATTTCTTAATATCAATTGGGGAAAGCTATTATAGAGTTGGCAACTCTAGCAGACCGAGTTCTTATCAATTAGAAATTAAGCTCCATTATGCATGGAAATTATCATAAGCAGCATCTCTAAATGATTGATTATCTTATTCTTCTAAACAATATCCTTCCTGCTTTTTATTTGGATTAATTATTCAATTATTTTTAAGCTTTTTTAAAAATTCAGTTCCATTATTCTTCAATAAACCAGATAATTAGTCATAAATCATGTTAAGATCTATTTTGATGTTAGGAATAATGAATCTTTTGATTTTTGAAAAACCTTGTTAGTATTTTTAAGGATAAAATTATTTTATTAGAAATTAAACTTAAAATTTAGTAGGGCATGATCTGACATGTGATTGATTTATATTATAAACTAAATAAACTTTTTAAAAGAATCAAATTATGATCAGTTCTACTTTAAACTAATTTATATCTTTAGAAAGTCATTTCTTATTAAGTATTACATAATTAAAATTACATAAGTCAATGTGTTCTTTAGCTTTCTAAAAAAATTTTCTCTTTTATTAAAATAACAGTAAGATAAATACATCATAATATTCATTTCGGATATGATAATCATTTTCGAATTTCACTAAATTTTTTGAGGTAAGACTTTTTATTTCTATGTAATAATTGCACCTGAATTCTATAATTATCAAAAATGACAGTGAAATAAATAATAGGGGAGGAGTTTAATTGTGCTTGCCTACACTCTTATTGGTATAATATATATTAATTAACAAATTTTAGCGTTTTTACCATGAAAAGATCTTGATTTAACATTCTCAATTCAGCTTGTAATATTGTTGGTTCTTATTTGTTAGTTTACCTGGTGAGGTTTATTTAAAAGCGATTTCATTCATTTATTTATTAAATTTAATTATATCAATTATGTGAACTATTTTAAGGGAATTTATCTTGATGGTTCTTAAGATTTACTCAGTTATTAGTATTTATTAAAGTTTAAATGTGGAGGATTGAGAATGTATCAATTTTTTTGAAACAGAAAATATCATTAGTTGAGGTATTGGGTAAATATTTAAAATGTTTAATTTCCTTAAAATACAAACTCAAATTTTTTCTGCCAAATATGCCAAAATTTTTTGTGTTTTAATCATCATTATTATCAATTACAGCTTATTTAATAATTTATCACCTTTCTATAAATCAAAAGATTCTGATACAAGGTTTATACATTAAATTATAGTACTAATAATACAACTATTCATTTTTGATTATTCAATTTATTTCTTGGATTAAGATTCTTTCCATTATAGTATGACCTTATTTATTAATTCAAGTATATTTTGCATTCGTTATATATAAAATGAATCTTAAATTGAATTGATTTATAAATTCTCATAGCGACATCTAATTTCTAATTTAGTTAGATTATTCAACATAAGGTATTTGATTTAAAGACTAGACTACTTAAATTTTATATCATTCACTCATTAAAATTTGAGTGATTATTAATAGTCGTTAAAATCATTTTTCTTGCTGCCATGCTAAGAGTAATGATTTAACCAAAAACTTAGTAGTAGTCTATATATATTTTTTTATTTAAAATGTATTAATTAAAAAAATATTGATAAGATTGACTAGGTACATTATTCTAATTATCTTATTCTTTTTTTCAGTATTTGGCTACCAACTGTCTTGAGTAATTTAGATGTCCCTTATTTGCATAAAATAGTTGGAAGAATTATCCATAATCTAAAGGAGATTTGATGAAATAAGATTCTGTTGCCGATTACTTTAATGCATTTTTGCTCTCCTCATCTTTGTCAACTAGGTCAATAGTAATTATCATCATAATTTGAATTGTTATTATAGATCAACATCCTATTTTTGGATCATCCTTTAACACTTTATCTTGCTCTCTTCATAACACTCGGCAAAAGAAGGACAATTTCGTTTTAATTGTTTAACATCATTTTCTAGAGCAACTGGAGGTTTGTTGATAATAAGGTTGCATCTTTTACAGTGTCTAAAAAGGTAAATCTTATTGTATTCTATTCTTAAGAATTGTAAATTATAATGTTCAGTAAATTATTTAAACTCATTGACGCCTTATTTTATGGATGAATATTTTATAAAAAAATCTATGGAAATATTATTTATTATCAGTTTCTGGTATTTCCACCCCTATTGGGCATCAATTTCAAATTAAGATTAAAATTATTTATTTTAACTGTATTAGAAGAAGATGAGAGGTTTTCTAAATTTCAGAATATTAGTTTTATGCTTTTTCAATATTTTTTTGAAAGAGTTACAAAATCAAATCAAGAAGTTCTTTTCATATTAGACTCAATCAATATAGACTTACCAAGGTCTAACATATCCGTTTTGATCTTGTAGGTATGATTTACTATAATCATAATTAAAGTAAATGTATTTATTCTTTTGTTTTTCCAGGTTAGTAGCAGTTAGTCTTAGGCTAAAATATTAGTATTACAATTTATTCATAAAATTTTTCCACTTCATTTAGTAGATTTTAATCTATTTATCAGGTTAATTATATTATTTTTTCTAGGTTTAAGTAAGTTTGACTTAAGGTATAGATTATACCTTTCTTCTTGAATAACTTAAGTTGAAATTTTTCACTTTGCTATGAGTTATTATTTTTTGCTTTAGTATTTCATCTCTTTAGCTTAACATTTTACCCTCCTATTATTTAGGATTCTACAACTATCTCTCCCAGCTTACTGGTTAAGGTCTAAAACCTTGGTTATCATCAATTACCTAACTATAATATTAACATTTTTATTCAGTTTACTTAACCAAGAAATTCATATCCAATTTCTCTTGATAAACTTCCTTAAGAGAAATTGACTAAGGGCTTTATTGAGTAACAAGGAGAATATTATTCATTAACTTTAATAAATGTTCTGAACCAATAGTTCTCCTATTGTCAGACACTTTTATCATTAAAAGATTGACGTTAGGTTTGGATGCCAACTTATCTACCAGCTTTGCTTATTACAGTTACTATCTCTATCATTATTTTATCTCTATTGATATTTCCAGATAAGGTATTATTGTAAAATATAAATCTAGTGTGTAATTTTATGATGTACCATAATTAATTTATGGGGTGTATTAACTTTTTTAAATCTAATTTAATCCTTGATTTGAATTATTTTAGTAAAATATACATAGCACTTTCTAAATGTATCTGATCTACTCCAGAAGATTTTTTTGTTCTTTGATGTTTATATCATGATCAATTATTAGAGGTTTTCCTCTCAATATTTTCATTACTATAACATATGCATCGACATCCATGCCTTTCGCATCAGCATATTATAAGTAATAATTAATCTCTGACTTTTCGCTGTTATATCAGTTAGTTGGCTAGAAATTTGATCCAACTACTATTGCTAGCTAGATTATTATTCAAATCTAAAGGCCTATTTGAAGAAGTCGACTGATAGTAGATCATATTCCATTGTTAGATCCACAAATTAGCCACTCTATTAACCATCTTAGTGCTATTTTTATCCTCTGGAGCTACTAGAACCTTTACTATGAACTTTACTTCGAGTAGGAGAATAGGCTTGATTAAATTCAGAAAAAATGTTGAAAGGTCAATTTTATTTCCCAATAAAAATTGTAATGATTTTTCAGGTTTAATGAAAGCATTTTTTTAATTTTCATTAATTCATTAAGAAACTAAGTTGATCTATAGAAATTATAGTTGGCTGTAAGATAAACAAAAACACTGTTTTAAAAAATTTTTATGGATTTGAAATTTTGCCATCCTCCTGTTTCTAGAACTATCATTTACAGCTATTGTTCACAGCAATTAGATTGGTTACTAACAATCTTGTAAATCTAAAAATGGTAATTAGCTCCTGATTTAAAACTACTTAAGCATTGAATTATTTAACTATTTTGCTTACTTTTTTCAAAATTTATTTAAGATTATAACTTAATCACCAAGTTGAACCATGAATATGATTAGATTAATAATTAGTGTAACTATCTATGATGTATAAATGAACTAATAATGGGTTATGCAGAATTCTTATAATAGAATTTTTTTTATTTTCATAATTTAATGGGGGAAGCCATGAATTTTAATTTGAAAATTTTAAGCCTTCTGGACCTCAATTTTTGGGATAAAATGCGAAAAATATGGTATGGATCAACGAGTATAAATAGCCTCATTAGGAAAAATAAGCAAGTGGATCAAACCTTTATTGCAAGGACTATAAATAGCTTTATAATTATATTATACTATAATGAAAATACATATAAAAAGTGCAATTAAATTGCTATAAATCTTACAACAATAAAACTTTCTTCGAGTTTTAAAATAATTTATGAAAAAATTTATCTTAAATTACATATTCAATAATTTAATCTAAGGCTTTAAGATTTAACTTAAATTTTTCATAATGATTTCATTGATAATATCCTCAGAAATGTAACTCTCCTATTAGATTTTTTATATAATGGATTATTATTAAAAGTAATAAATGGTGATTAGAGGATGATAATTTCACTATTTTTTCAATTAAGATACATAGTCTGTTTTATATTGCAATGTCTAGATAAATTTCCAAATTTTTTCTATGTTAATAAAAAATATTTACTTTATATGGTCTTCCGCAATAATTAGCGCACATCTTTTTAAGACAAGTTAAGCAAATTTATTAATTTTGTTCCTAATTCTCCATTCTATACAAAAGCAAAAACGGCATTATTTTTTTTGACAAGGAGATAGGTAGCGCTTTAGTAAAAATTCTTTGAAGTTTGATTGAAATTTTTCTAGATAATTTTATTTTAAATCCTAACTTATTCTATCTATATCATATGAAAGTGATTTTTGTTGAATTTCTGAAATAATAAGATTTTTCAGTCAAAGCTTGAACTATTGCAGATTTATTAGGGTTTTCATAAAGAATTAGATCCAATCCTTATTTCAAAAGTTTGATATTATTTTACTTTATAATATTTTGCAATAGTCAATTCAAGATTCTAAAAAAAGATATCTTAATCATTTTCAACTATTTCTTAAAAAATAGTGGTTTAATTTTCATGATAAACTATTCGTAATAGAGCCAAGACTTTATATTAGAATATATGATTGGTTTTTTAATTAAATTTGTTTAAATCACTCAATAATTAAAATAATAAGTTGCAAAGTACTAATGAAAAAGTTTCATCTCGAAGCTATGGAATGTTGAGTTATTCAACTTTTTTTATCTGTAAGGGTTAATAAAAAGAATTCCAAAATTTAAATCAATATCTTATCCTTTGCATTTGTGATAGACAGGAAAATAGTATGGCAAGCAAATACGACATCCTTAATATTTAAACAAGCCTATCGTAAATTTTTATTCCTTAATTATAAACATTATTTATGAAAAGTGTGTTAACAACTTGAAGCTACAACTTCAAAAATGTCTATATATGAATTAATCTTTATTGGTTTAGGAATCATATAAATATTCGAATACTAAATTAATAGCTCTATATTAATTTCCTCATTTTCAAACTACAACTAGCATAAAGAACAATTTTCAGTAATCAATTAAGTTGAAGTCTCTGCAATTTGATTGCTAAATCTTGATCCTATATTGTTAATTTTTATTAATAATATTGACTTTTTATTTGTGATCTATAAGCTCTTTAAGCATCGCTTTCAACTTAGAAAGAATTAAAACACAAAGTTTCATCAAGTTATTTAGCAAATATTTCATAATTGCTATTTGATGTTTAAGGTAAGTTAATATCTTATAAAATCTACAAACATATTTAAGAAATAGCACTCAAATATGGAGGAAGATTAGCACTTTTATTTTTCAAATGATTATTGCATAAATAAACTAGATTAATATAAACAGAATAATTTTCCAATAATTATGAAATATTTTTAATTAATCCTTATTCTTATTGAACTTATAATTAATCTAAATTCTATTGAAGTTTTTGTTATACAATGTCTCAAACTATTTCTTTAAGTATGGCTAACCTTTTAGATGTTAAAGTAGATTTGAGCTAATTTAATTCATTCACTAGAGCAGTTCCAAATAACCCTGTTATCTATCATTTTATGTTTTTAAATTATCAGTTATTTATTCATTTAGTTCTAATACCAATGAAGCAAAATTGGTTCATATTAAACTGGTAATAGGGTTTTAATTATAATTATTAATTACCTTAATTCAACTCACAAGAACTTATTATTATATTTACACATCAATTCTACTATCATTACAAATTTACTCAAGTATTTTTCTTAGCACTTTTACTTTGTAAAAAGACTGATCATAAAAGACTTTTTGGAATAATTTATTTATCCCTTTTTAAAATTATTCTGGAAGATCTTATCTAGATAAATCTCCTACAAATTAAATAAGATCATAATCTGTTTAAGCAATTCTACATAAAAGAAATGATAGATTTGTTTTGGAATTAAGAAATGTTGCAATCTCTTTATAATTGGAGATAGCATCATTAATCCCTTCAACACCAAATAAAATTCATATCATCAAATATAAGCAATATCCACTTATTTGAGTGAAGCTTGCTTTAGTTTTAATTATTATTTCTCATATTATTCCTTATATAGAGATGGATTGACATTTTTTGACAACACAATAATATTAAGTAAAGTTCTTTTCAACAATTTTAACATAACTTATTTTTAAAAATTTGAAATATGGTTTAAAATTGCTATCAACATGAAGTGCATAAAATAAATCTGAGATATTATATTCACCTTTTTTTATAAATTGTGACAATTAATAATTAAGAATTAAAAATTAGCAAATTTATCATTATTTATCCTATTTAAAATTAAATTAAGAGTCTTTTAAATGAACATGATATAATTTTATGAATTTTTGAATACTCTCATCTATTGGAATCTAAAGTAATTTGCTTGTAACATAACTTCAAGGAATATTATCTTGTTATAAACACTTAAGGATTTTTAATATATGTGTATATAAGTGTTAGCCTTATTTCAAAGCTTTTTATCTATCTGAAAGATCAACTACCTATATAAACTTTAATGATTTTCTAAATTTAATATCTTGATAGCCTTTACAATTTCAGTCATCGTCTATTCTGTAAAGTCAACAACATTCAAACAATAGTCCAAAAGAAATCATAATAAATTATCAAAATCTTTCTATCATATTTACTAGATTGATTGTATAAATTCTTACACCCAAATAATTTCTCGGGAATTGTAATTTCATTTTGAATTTGCGAATGCTTATTACAAAGTGATTTTTTCTTCATTTTCAATATATCTCCACAATCATAAAATCCGAATTTTAAATAATCATATGTCACTGCATGATCTAATGTAAAAATAAATATAATAATACTTTTATGTTTTTCTGGTATAAAGCATTCTTAAAAATAAACATGATTAGGCTCTTTACAACAATCAAAACATTAATAATATAAAGTATTATTAATTAAAGTTGCTGAGCATATTTTGTTATTTCCTGTATCTTTTTATTAAATTATTCTATATTGAAATGTATTATCTGAAAACGCTAAAACATGTTATACTAATTAGAAATCCTTTACATTCTCTTATATTTCAGCTTCATTCAAAATGATATTAATCTATTTATATATATCCATGAATATTTTATATTCATATATTATAATATTAATTCTAATACTTTTTTTTTAAATAGAATTAAATTAGCATTATCTCCGAAAATATTTATAAAATTCATTATTTTCTTTACAAATATGAATAAGTTTTTAAAAAAATGGACTGAGGCTGATACTTATATCAATGATAATATATAAAATATACAACGTGAATTACTTGCAGTTATTCTTCCAAATGACTAAAGTTTTTCAAATTGGGAAAATTCAAAAACTAAATTTTAATCTACTTGTGGATACTTTATTTCTGATCAAGAATTAAGTTTTTAATGTTTTACTTGTGGAAAGGAACCTACACATATGATTTGTAAAAATTGCTTTATACCTAAATTACATAGAGGTATAATATATATATATATTCATTAGATCATTAGTGTATTATTGATGTCAAAAATAAGGGATTATGCGATTGTGGTGTCAAATCTCTGATTTTAGATGATGGGTTTTGTTCAAAACATACTGATAAAATTAACATAAATAAGGAAAAAGAAATTAGTAAAATTCCTATTAATATATAAAATAATATCACTTTTATTTTTCAAGAACTCATTAATTCTTTTAGAAGTTCGATTAAAGAAATAAAAAAGATGAATGTTTCTAACTTATAAACTACACTTTTAACTCTCTATCATTTTGCTAAATAATTTAAGGATCAAAATTCAATTTAATATATGGAGATGTATTAGAAGAATGAATAAATTTCTGAACTTTTTAGAAGAATTGCTAATATAAATACTCTAATATTTACTACAATTGAATTACTAATTGATAAAAGATAAAATTATTAACTTTTAATATAGCAAATCCTCTCAAATAAAAATTTAATTAACTCTAAATACACGATTTTAGAAAAGTTATTTAGATATTAAATATATATTGAAGTTTATCAAAAAGGTTATGATTATAAGATAGATTAGATCCTTTATAAATTATTTAATGATGAAACGTTCAAAGCTTATATTTTCTCTATTATTTTGAAAAATTTTTCTAACTTTTGGTTAATCAGTTAATTTAAAACAACCATTATAGATGAAAAAATAGAGGAATTATTCAAAAAAATAGATTAATCGATGATATAAAATTAGAAAACCTATTTTTGTTGTTAAACGATTGTTTAATATAAAGTATAGAACATTGATCTTTATTCTTAGTACAGAAGAATTTAAAAGTAAATTTAACCATTAATTAAACATTTAATAAGTAATCGATAATTATTCCACTCTGTAAAGACTAGTAAAATACTTATATCTGAATCTTAATTTTAATCTTTTGAAATGTAAGAATAATTCTTTTCTTAAAATTAAAATATTTAGGACTTTGTAGTTACCATATAACAATTACATTATACTTCTGGTGCATTATGTTCTGATAATTAATTAATACTTCCGTAATTATTTAAAAAGAGATTTGAATATAAGAATTTTGGAGAAATAGCATTAGGTTAATTATAAAATATATTAAATAAAAATTTTGATTCATTTAAATAAATAGATATTAACATTGATATAATAAAAGTATTCAACTTTAATAAGTTTGCAATTACAAATTTGATTTTAAGTTTGGGCAAAGGAATTTAAATGAGGAATAAAACTAATTTATTGAATAATTCAATTATATTAGCTGATACTATTTACTATCTTCAAGATTAAGCAACATATTATACTGCAATTTACACTGGATTAATGAATCTATTCAGTAATTAATATAGTAATGAAATATTAGAAAAGAACATTATTAAATTACTTTTTTATTAAACTTACTTCATCTTAAAGAAAACTATCAATATCAATTAGATAAATATCAAACCTTCATAATCTTTAATATAAGATTTGCCAACTATTAAAAATGGTATGATAATATAGAAATTGTTTATTTCTTATTTATCTTATTTATATTGTGTTACCTAATTTGAAAATGGAAAATAATTCTTACATTACTTAATTGATATTTTAGATGAAGATTAATAAAATTTTGAAAAAATACTCAATTAATTATTAAAAGAAACTGTTTATGTGCATTTGATTATTCAAGAGAATCAAGATTAACAGATAAAATCTGTTTATTAAGGAAATAATAATCATACAGAATACTCTTAATTTCATAGAGTTGACACCTGTCTTATTAAATTATATATATTTTTATTTGATGTTAATGGATTCTCAAGTGTTAAAAATATGATGGAAGAGTTTTATTAAATCTAAAATGGTACAATACTTTAAGAATTAAAAAAAGAGAAGTATCAAAATTTTTATTAAATGTTTATTAATTTAATCTTAACAGATTATGATCTTTATAATGTATGCTGCCCATTATTAACTTAATTAACAAATGAGTTAAAATTGTCTTTAGTTAGAATATTAGGTAATTACTTTAATATCTCAACCTTTATAGAATATGGAGATATTTAGGAGAAACTTAAAAATTTTGGAGTTTTAATAACTTCAAATTTTTCGAACCATATATTATAAATATGTGAAGTTGATTAGACATCAAAAAAATTAAAACTAAAAGGAGAATATAAAATATTCTATGAACCTTGTTTAATATAGAATTAATCATAATTATAAACTCAAATAGAAGAAAGATTGTTTGAGTAAAAAAAATCAGACAGTGAAATATTATTAGGAAATGGGATCACATGGGATATTGAATAGTTTTCAAATAAAAGTTATAGAGTTTTAATGCAATAATTATTAAAGATTTATTGCCATTTTGAATTATTTTTGAGAAATCTGATTTATTTAATGAAAAAGGACAAATTAATAGTATAGATAAGCTATCTTATTTATGCTCAACTTGCTTATTTGAATTAATTTGATTAATAATTATTTAAATAATATTTTGAAATAGTAATAGCTTAATTGGAAGAAATATAATAAATTATTAATGTAAAATAAAAGTAAAAATAATAAATCAAAGTACTTATTTAATCAATTAATGAATTAAATCAAAAATAAATAATGAACAATATGTAAAAATAAATAAAATAGAAATTTTAAACTCTAAAAGAATAATATAAGTCTAAATTTAATAAAATATAGTCATCAAATTTAGTATAAAAAATGATTAATGAAAAAGAGGAAAATTAAGAAGAAGATCTATGTTTTACATGTAAACTAGATGTTACAACTGAAAATAGTGTGGGAATGATGTATATTTATTGGAAATCTCAAACAGAATTTTTTGATGAAACACATCAAATGCTTAAAGATTAATTGTTATTTGATTTCGATTTGGGAATATAGACTTGTAACCACTACTTTCATGATAAATGCTTGACTTAAGCCTTTGATTGTTATTAAATTATGGATTAAGAATATGGGTAAGGGTTTAATTAATATAAATTTTATTGTCCAATATGTAAATTACATACGAATTGTAGATTTCCAATTTCAAAAATAGACAAACGAATAGTTAAAAGTTTAAATTCAGATTTAATTTTCATTTATTCTTTAATAAATATGGATGATGAATTTGAAGATGAATTACCTTAATAAATTAATTTAGTTAAAATTTACATAAATCTATTTTATGACTTGCTGGTCTCATTGTTTATTAATCCTTAAAATTATAAAAAAGCTCAAAAAAATATATTATTTAATCAATTATTTTGTTGCTTTTATGAAACAATTTAAGATATGAATTAATAGGATATAGAAGCATAGCCATAATTACAAAATATTCAATAGAAAAATAATTTTCTGGTGAATATTTTGACTTCTATGTATGAAATGTCTGTGAAATAGTGTAGCTTGAATTAATTAAGATTATCTATTATTGAATTAATCAGTTAATATAGTTAATTAAATAAAGAAGAAATCTCACTTTTAATTAGCTCTTTTGGCATAGAAGAATAAATGATGGTATAAGAATTAAATCAAAAAAATAAATAATGCATACATGACACATCTTTAGAATATTATTAAAATTTTTAGATTAAAACTAGTTAATATATTTAAAAGACTTTGGGAGAAACATTTCTATAATTTCATAGTAAATATTTTTGTAACAAATGCAGTATATGCAAATTTTATAATCTTAAAAAAAGTAAAAATTCAGGTGTTTGTGTCTGTTTACTATGCAAAGATTTATTTTGCAATGAGTCTTGCTCCTTATCTATTAAAGACCACTTAAATTATCATGTAGAAAAGAGGCATCATGGAAATTCATTATTTGTGAGCCTTTAAGATGGTTCAGTTACAATAATTAGTTAATCAACTTCAATCAAAAAATTTAAATATTTGTATTATAATAATTTAGGTGAAAAAATAAATATAGAGAATCCTAATTCAGACTGGAATTAATACATACTTGATATAACTAAAGCTAATGAATTAGTCGACATCATTGTTAATAATAAATATCGTAAAATAATTAAGAGTTAACAAAAGCGAAGTAATTTTCTTTGAACATGAATAATTTTTGAGACTTGATTATTTTATTATATAGTACTTAAATTAGTTAAACAATTATTATTATAAATTTAATTTCAGTCAATAATTACTTTACTGTTTAGAAGCTTTGGTTTCTACAACAGTTAGATATTAAGTGACGAGTTCACGTACTTAGTCTGATGTTTATTCTTACTTCACTATCTTTTTACTAATGTTGCTACTAATTGCATCAGGCAATAATTACTATTCCCAATTCCTACAATTAACTAGAAAATAATTAAAACAAACAATTATGATCTAAAATCATTAGTCGATTTTACTAACTAAAATGCTTTCCAAATTATAAATTAATTTGATCTATTTTTATTAAACTTATTGATTTGCTTTTTCTAGATAAAGAGCTTTCAAAATTAATATAACTTATGTATGTTTATAGCATTTTTTGCATTTTCTTAGGATATCTTCTTCGAACTTGGAAACTCAACTATCCCAATCTAATGATGTATTATTAATCTTTCAATAGGCTAATTTTATATTAAATAATGTGAACTAAAATTGAAGTTTTAATTTTTTATAATCAGCTCAATCCACTATTTCTTAACTTATTTATTAAGGAGAACATAAATTCATCTGATTCTCAAATTTCTTTATGATTATTTTAACAATTTACTATAGAAATTTTAAGATTGATCAGTTTATGAAATTATATAAAATTAATCAACTCATACAAAATTATTTGAAGTATAATATATTTATTTTTTTAAATTGAGGATGTATCTTAATTATTAAATAATAATTAATGTAATAAAATCTTAGCCTTGAGTGGAAAACAAAATTGTATTGTATGAATCATAGATAAGAGTAAGTGGAATATTGTTGTCTTAATAAAAGTTGCTCCGAAAATAGATTGTGTTGTTAGAAGTGTTTAGAGTAATATCATTAATATCACACTATTGACATAAAAATACTAGATGCAATTCAGGAAATCATTTCTAACTCTTCAAAAAATGTAAAATAAGTGTTAGCAACATCAAAAGTTGGATTTCAACGTATTAAAGAGTCTTTTGATACAACCATATGCAAAATAGAAAATAAAATATATGGGTTAGAATAAACTATCAAAAAAATGAACACAAGCTAACTAGAGGAACTCATTCAATACTCTTTTTAGTATGAGGAACTTGAAAAAATACTAAAGGCTTCATTTGATGAGTTGACAACTCACATTTAAAAAACACTTGAACGAATTTATTAGAATTACTCTCTACATGATAGAATACATCTTGATGAATTTATGATAGCTTAATTAGGCGATGACTTATTTAAATAAAAAGATTATTTGAGAGCCAAGGAGTATTTTGAATAATGCATTCAAATTAATCCAGAGAATATCTCAGCACTTTTAGGAATAGGTATTTATTATACTTATTTAGCTAACTGTTTAAGGGATAATCAGAAATACAAGGAAGCAGAATAATTTTATACAAAAGCAAAATTGTTGGATGAACACAACTCAAATATTTTCTGTGATTTTGGTAATAAAATTAGTATATAAAAGGTGAATGTTTAAGATAACAAATGCAAATTGAAAAAGCTTTATTTGAATTTGATTAAGCTTTAAGAATAGATGCAAACTATCCTTAAGCAGCATTTTATAAAGGTTATAAAGAGTAATATTTATAGGGGTTCTTCTCATTTACTAAGGAATATGGAGAGTATTAATAAAGAGTGAAGATGAAAAATTAATAAAAGAAGAAATCTTTAAATATTTTTAAAATGTTACATTTTTTAAGAATGATACTTATGTAAGTCTATTCAAAGGTATACATTCATAATATTTTTTAGCTTTGCTTCTAAGTCTAGATGGTTACCCTGAGGATGCTTAGTAGATAATAGAAGAAATTTTAATAATAGCACCAAACAATTACGAGGGTCTATTACTAAAAAGTTTATATTTATTATAAATTAGGTTTCATGCTATTTGGTAAGCAATAATTTGGCTTATCTCTACAATTACTTGGATAGACAATAATCTAGGACTAATTTGTAGTATTTTTTAAGAGTAAACAATTTAATTCAATTAGGTTTGTGTTTATTTAGTTTAGAATAATACAAAGATGCAATCAAATTGTTAGATTCTATTTTAGAGTTTGATTCTAACAATTAGAATGTATAATTAATTAAAGGTATGAATTTAAATAAAAAAGGTTAATGCTTAATGGAACTTAAACAACATAAAGAAGCTAGTGCAATATTTTGTTCTATTCTGGAAAGTAATCCTGATTACCTAGTTGCTTAATAATACAAAGGTATAAAAAGTCATAATTATAAGATCAATGTTTAGAAAAAATCTAGTAAGAAACGGAAGCTATATAAGATTTAGAGTAAATAATTTTATATATTTTAGATTAAAAATTTGATGAATAATTTATTCATACATATATACATTTAAATATATAATAAATAAGATATTAATAATATTTAACTATTCATAAATAATAGATCATCATATATGAGTTGCTTGAGATAAAATATAAAAATGCCACAAATAACATGAAATTATCATTTATTTAAAGCCTAAAAACTTCATTCTTAAGAATTTTTAATCAAAATAGCAATATCTAAATAACAAGATACTAATTTTCTTTTTTCAACTTGCTTGTATACAAAATATTAATTAGTATTTTCGTTAGATATTTTATCATCATGTTTTCAGTATTATATAATTTCTATTTTAAAAGATATCAATAGTAAAAATGATTAGATGATAAGAAACTTAACATAAATTAAATCACTAAATTTATATTATAATTGTTTTTTAATTAAAATAATAATCATAATTGTTTTTACTTTTATTTGGCTATTTCAAAAATGGCTTAACAGTTTTCATTTCCAGTATTTTTTACTAATCTTGAAAATTCAGTTGATTTATCAACAGAAGTAGAGTTTATAGAATTGGCTAATAAATTAAAAGGAGTATCAAATTCTACAATTTATCCTTCACTTATAACCATAATTTTATCGTAATCTGCTATTGTATTTAATCTATGAGCAATAGTTATCAATGTGCAATCTGAAAATTTCTATTTTAAAGTTTCTTAAATAAAATCATCTGTTTTCATATCAACATTTGCAGTAGCTTCATCCAAAACAATTATTTTCTTTTCTTCTAATATCATTCTGGCCAAGCAGATTAATTATTTTTACCCCACAGAAAAAACAGAATTTACATCACTCATATCTGTCAAAAGACCCTTTTATAAATTTTTTACATGACTTATAAGATCTGTTTATTCTAAAGCTTTCCATAATTTTTCATCTTAATGAATATCAAATGGATCTAAATTTCTTCTTATTGTACCAGTAAATAAGAAAGGAGATTAAGGGATAATTCCAATATTACTTCTTACTTTATGTAATCCTAATTTTCTAATATCTTAATCAGAAATTAATAATTTTGATTCCTGTAAATCTTCTATTTCTGACATTCTAAAAAGGGCTTGTATAATAGATGATTTTCCAGCGCCTGTTCTTCCAACACAACCAACTTTTTCATTACTTTAAATTTCAAATGACAATCCTTTAAGTACTAAATCATAATTTGATCTGTATCTCATGAAAACATTTTCAAATTTAACTCTTCCATCCTTTGGAAAATCAAGATGTTTATCATCTTCTTTAACATTGTGAGGAGGCTCTGGCAGTATATCTATTATCTAAAACATTCTATTATAAGAGGTCATTTGTGTATCAAAAGTTATTAACTGTCTTAATCCCCATTGTAGTAAATCATTATATGTAGATAATATTAATAATCCTTAAGATAAAACAGCAATATTGTCATAATTCAATTTTAAAAATATAAAAATTCCAACTGATGAAGTAATAAATCCCACAACATCTAAATTGAACCCAAAAGATCTTGATGAATAGTAATAAGTTAAAGCACTAAGATTGCATTTATTTGAAACCTCTAAAAATTGTTTTCGAAACCAGTCTTGTTATTGATAAACTCTTATTTGAATAACTCCTCCTAATGTTTTCTTCAGAAAATCAAATAAGGGGCTTCTTTACATTAATTCAACTTCTTTTAATTAACTAATAATTTTCTTAGCATAACTAAACTAATATGCATTTATTGTGATAATAAAAATAATCATTATCAAAAAATATGGTTGTAATATTGCTAAGGTTATTAGAGCAAATAAGAAATTACCAATTATTTCTAACACATCCAAGCTAACATAATTTGTTTGACTATCACACAAAGATAGATCATTAGAAAATCTATTGAGAATTCTGCCAGATGGATTTACATCAAAATATGAAACAGGTGCTAATATTAAAGATTTAAGCATTTCTTAATGTATCTTCTGAGTAGAATTTTATACTGAATATGTATTCAAAGAATATTTTATTAGATTACAAAGAAGCAGTCCTAATGTAAGCATTCCTAATATATAATATGCAGTATCAATATCATTTTCTTATTGATATTCTTGAAAAATTGATACAATTCTTTAATAATAATTTATTAGAACTTCAGATCCAGCTTCTAAAAGTAGAACAAGAAGAATTACTATTACATTCCAAAATTAATAATATCTAAAATACGTTCTTAAAGTTGTCAACTACTGTTAATCAGCCTCATTACCAACTAAGTTATTAGCAACTAAATTTTAGATTTTCTTTTTTTTTTAAAGATTTTCTACTTCACTTCCTTTTTATTTTGTTTACTAACTGTTATTTAATTATTATGCTAATTCTTCATTGATCATATATAAACTCGATTTAATATCTTAATATTAGCCTTGAGCTATTAATTCTCCATCATTTAAAATGCCTATTTTGTCACATTAAATAGCATATTAGATTTAATGAGTAACCAAAATAACGATTGGCTTCTTTTTTTCTGGATTTCTCTGTGTTTGATATTCAAAAATAAATTCTTTGATTGCCATCTAAAAAATCCTTTTAGCAACATTAGCATCAACAGCAGATAATGGATCATCAAATAAATATAGGTCTGCTTATTAGTACAAAGCTCTAGCTAGAGATACACGAGCTTTCTATCCTCCAGAAAGTGTGATTCCTCTTTCTCCTATCTCAGTGTGATCTTAAAATTTCATTGAAGATAGATCTGCCTCCAATTAAGATGCATGCAACACTTTTTGATATAAGACTTTATTATATGGTCTTCCAAACAAAATATTCTTTTTTATAGTATCAGGAAAAATAAATGGTTCTTATTCAACATATGCTACTGACAAAATAGTTTTATTTGCCTCTTGACCATCAATTTTGAAAGAGCCACTATATACAGGAATTTCATGCAATAAAGAACTAAGTAAAGTGGATTTCCCACAACCTACTTTACCAATAATAGCCCAAGTTTCTCCTGAAGAAATTTCTAGTGTAATGTTTTTGAGAACTGGTTTTGTAGTTTCAGAAATTAAGGTTGTCCAATATGATGTAAAATTCTTGAATTGAATTCTAGGTCCATTATAGTTTTATTTATAAGTATCACTTTCTTATATTTAATGATTTTTATCCAAATTTTTCATTTCTTAATTTTCTATATTTAAAATAGTTGCTATTCTATTAAAAGATACCTTTATTTGAATTACAGATTAAATTCCATATGAAACCATGAAGACACAACTTAATTTAAAAAATGTCAGTAATTGAATGGTAGAAATCATTTCAGCAACATTCATTGTTTTTCTGTATCCTCCATAATATAAAATGATAAAAAATATAAAACTTGACCAGATCTATGAAATTAAACTAAATAATCTGTCTAAAGCTGATCTAAAATTGATTGTTAATAGGCAAATATATTCCTTTTGTCGAATTATTGAAATCATTTTAAAAAAGGCTTGCTCCCATGCATACATTTTAATTAATCTTATTCCTTCAATAAGTTCATTTGTCAATTTTAATCGTTGATCTTAATATGGTTTTGAGTTTTTTAGTGTTTCTGAGTTAAACCATTAAAGCATGACTTATATCGGGTATACTAAGAAAATAATAGCAAGTGCAATCAAACCAATCGGTCCATTAAATCTATCCCATAATATATAGCAGCCAAAAATTATGGACACAAAACAAACACTACTATAGAATATTGTAATAAAGACATATTCAAGATAATTGATATCACCAGACACTAGATTAAAAATTTTACCTATGTTAGCTTCAGCTATTGAATAAGCACTTAATTCAGTTAACTTTAAATAAACTAAATTAATAAGTGTCATTCTTGCTTTTGTTGAAAAAATCATTGCCAAATTATAACCATGATGCATTGTTAAAAAACTCAGTAGATTTAAAACAACCATCAAAACAGCAAATAGATATGCATCATCCTTTTCATCTTTTTAAGCACTAGTAATTACTTTACTCATTGTAATGGATACTCCATTCTTTGCTAGAGCTTCAAAAACATGAGAAAAAAAACATCCTATGCTTATCCATTTTAATTATCCGAAAAATATTATTTTCACTAAATCGCTACAGTTAATTTTCCGTTTATTTTTTACTCGATTTTGGGAATCTTTGACAGTATCTTTTAAATCTTCCCAAGGTGATAATTTTGGTAAGTGCTTTTCTGTTATTTTATGATTTTTGTCTAATAAATGTTTTTTTAAAAATAATGAATATCTTGTTAAATCTAGAAAGATGAGCTTTGAAAGAAGCAAATAATTTTACCCATGATGGTAAGGATAGAATTTTTTTTCTTCTTCTTCTTGAATAGTAAGTAATGAAGGCTCATGATTTTGTTCATTTAAATTTAATGGTTGAGATTCTTGATTAAGTTACTCCTATTAATCATTTGGAGCTGTTAGTATTTTTGTATTCAGATGGCTTTCTATTTTTGTGTCTAATCCATTCTGTCTTATTTATGAATTGATGTCTATCATAAGAATTTAAAAAGTATTTCTATTAACTAATAATTAATTGAAAAAACTAAATTCAAATAAATGAAAAAGTATTAAATAGAAAAATTATAAAATAATTTATTGCTATCTAATTAAAGACTTTTTAATTCCTAAGTTAATTAAGTTACAATATCATTTATATAATTATCAATTACTATCCTTTAACCAAAAATAATAAAATATTCATATTGCTAATAATGTATTTTTATATCATCATTATTCCAAAAAAATCTAGTAGTTGTTGATTTTCTAAAAGTTATTCTTAAACGATTGGTAACTGAGATCAATCGATGAAAAAAACGTTATAAGTTTTGATTCTGATAATTAGATATGAAACTAATTAGATAATCATTCACTAAATAGATGTATTAATCTATTTGTGTTAATCAAATTAGAGAGTTAGAATTTAATTGCTGAGAATAATTTGTTCTGATGACTTAAATAGATTAGATGAGCTATAATTTAGAAAACGAATTCACTAAAATTAAGATCATTTATTAAATAAAACTATGATATTGATCAGTCTGACAAGTATATATATATATATATATAAGTTAATTGATTTTTGAGAAGAAATCTAAAAGAATCCAAAAAATTTAGGAATTTCATTTTAATTAAACTTAGTATTAGTATACTGCTCTTGTCTTTTTTATATACAACTAAAAAGATAGCTTAGTCTCAATGAATTTATATTTTCTTTTAAACTAATTAGGAATAAACAGGAAATTTTGAATTTTTAGTTTTACAACAAAATGCAAATTTGTCAAGATATTTGAAATTAAATAAATGAACCGATACCTTAAAGATGATAAAAACATTGAGAAGTATTAGTCTAATTATAGATTAAAATAATAATTTTTTTAACTCAATAAAGAATTAAATTTAGTAAATGATGATAATAATTATGCATATTTTTAATATATAAAAAAAGATTTAGTAAAGTATCAAGTAGATAATTTCTTCATTTAGACAAAAACAGTTTATAACTATTCTTAAACTTTATTTAAATTTAATAAACAAAAAATATCATAAACTATTATTATATACTATAATTGATTATGATTACATTTAAAATAATAAATTGAAGATTTCTATGAAATACTAATTGATTCACTTGATACATTTATAAATTCCTGTTTGTTAAAGTTATGTTTTGAAATCATTTTATATAAATTAATGTGAATTTAGTTCCTAAAATTATTTTTTCTCTTATTCTGTAAGATTATGGGAATTTTTGCATTTATCAACTAATTGTTAGATGAATAATTGCTGCTTTTTATTGTGCTTTACTAATTATTCATAATCAAGAAGTATAACATCAACAACTTTTAAAGTTTTCTTAATTGCCTCTTCTTATTTTGTTTAATTATCCAACAATTAGTATTTCTAATATTATAATATAAAATACAGTTTCCTACAATGAATTAATTAATTTTTATTGTATAACATTAGATTTATCTTTTGATTCTGCATTTTCCTATTTTTATTGGATGTTCGATGTTGGATTTAAAGCAATTTATATTGATTATTAGATTTCTTCTGGTTATTCAATCAAACTATTTTATTCTTCATTTTAACTGCCTTCATCATCTTAAATTTAATTTTATGAAACATTTTATGAATTTGAGTTTTCATTTTATGAATTCTAAGATTATGATCTTTTTTCTTTTTCTTATTGTAAATTTGATTTGTCTTTTGATTCAAATAAATCCACACATGTTTATACAAAAAAAACAGCATCAATAGAATTAGTCAAGATTTTATCATATACTTTAGTTTTGGAATTAACTTCTTTAACTTTTGCTCCAATTTAAGATATAGATTCTGCTCCTAAAAATCGAGTTGTCAAAGTTGACCAATCATCTAGTATAACTATATTATATACCAAATTTTAAATTTAGTCCATCAAGCATTTGAGTTCTAGAATTATATGAAAAATTGGTTATGATAGTCTTTCTTAGCTTTATGTAGAATGAAATAGATGAATTTGATTTTTTCAATTGAAAATATCTCTTAATGTATGAAAGATCTGATGAATTATTTGATTTTTTCATGAAGCTGTATAACAGAATGGTTACAAATGATTTCATTTTACTTGTTACACCACTTTGGATATGAAATTTTTATTGCTAAATATTTTCTATTCTATACGGAATAATGAAGTAATAATTGTTCAATAGGTAATTAGCTTGTTTTCATTAATTCTAGTATTTCTAGAAAATACCCCATGATATTGACATCTTTCATTAGATTTACATCCTTTTATTTTGATTGAATTTTATACCTTTTCATACTATGGATCAATAAGATTAGGAATTTTTTCTTTCAATTTGCTTATAAACTTAGTGTCATCATCGATTTCCATATTATTAAATAATTGAATTAATGGATATTTTAAAAAAGGTTTTTCAAAGCATCACTATCCCTTCAATACAAGGATATGACTTTGAAAAGGATTGCATACTTACAGTTGGGTAATGGAGAGTTTATAATGCAAAGAATAAACAAAGACTTGGTTCTGTTTGGCTATGTGATTAGAGCAAATAATTTTAAATAGCCAAAAAAGAATACATCAGTATGATTAAATTAAAATACCCTGGAATTTTGCAAGTGCTTGAACCACTTGTAGAAGAAAAATCTCATATAGGATTTGTCACTGAGAGAATAGAGTGTACTCTAAGTTAAGCCTTAAACGATAACAAATATGTATTGTCAGATATAGAAATGAAATTGCATATATTGGAAATAGTAGATGGATTATAATTTTTGCATAATAATGTTCGACAAGTTCACTTAGATTTGTAACCAGAAAAAATTTATTTTACAGATAATGGAAAATGGAAGATTGGAGGTTCCCCATTTTAATAATAAATTTTATCCTCTATCGTTGATTGTTAAATTAGCTCTGGATATAATATATTATACACAGCTCCTGAAATTGTATAGTATTTTAATTTATTATAGCTTTCTTCTAAGTAATAATGTGGATATTCTACAGATATGTTTTCATTAGGAATGATCATATTGAGATTAATGAGATTAAAAAATAATCGTGTACCTTTTCCAGAAACTCAAGATTAGGATTCTTATTTAAAATTTATCAAAAGTTTAGATCTAATGAGATATAAAGATGTCCATTAAGAATCATTTTTACAATTTTTAGGATTAATGCTATCTCCTTAAATGAATAATAGACCTACATTATCTTAATTTGTATAAATTGAATGGTTTAAAGATCCATATTTAATAACATTTAATATCTTAAACAAATTACCAGAATATGATATGCAATAATAAATTGTGTTTTTTAAGGGATTATCTAGTGTAATTTTTAATTTTGAAAAATCAATCCTTAAAAAAAGACTTTTACCAATTGTTTTAGGATTAACCTAATATGATCATTTGTTAACTGCAATAGTATAAATTATTCTTGAAACTATGAGAAGAGAAGATATAATAAATTCAACTTAATTTTAATCAGAAATTTGGCCTAAACTTAAGTATTAATATTAACTTTATAAGATAAATCATTTCTGGAAAGGAAATACCTGCCTAGGTATTGTATGATTTAGTTCTTGCTTTGCCTGTTTTTCATAAATATATAAGTTAAAAAGAAGTTTAAGAACATTTGATACCATTATTGATAAAATGTTATGAATGCAAAGTTCCTAAATTATAAGATTTAGGAATTAGAGTTACAGAGTTTGTTCTTGAAAATAATGATTATACCTTTAGTAAAACTAAAATTTTACCAAGAATTTTTGTACTTGCATTAGATTAAAACATAGAAATAAGAAAAACTACACTAATTTGTATTTATAAAACATTAAATGTAATGGATGCTGATTTAGTTTTAAATTCATTAGAAAAAGTAAAGGCTTTGGGGACAGATCGATAATTAAATTAAATTGTCTTAAAAATATATCAATCATTATCCAAAATTTTATCAATAGATTAAGTATCTTAAAAATTATTACCATAAATAACTCCATATTTAACAGATCCAACTCTTTCAAAATAAGAATTTAATGAATATTATGATACCTTATAATAAATGTTAGCTAGAATTAAAAGTGAGAAAGAAAAAAACCTTAGTGACTAAAGCATCAATGTTATACAAGTTGATTATAAATTAGCTTTGCCTGAACCAAAGAGATTAGTTGATAATAAAAATGTATAGTTTGAATTTCTTAATCAATTTGATTAAAGATTAACATCCATTCCAGATAAACCAGTAATTCAAGAAACTCCTACCTAACCTGCAGCAATATAATAAAAAGATTAAGTACCATAATTTTAAAATTAATAACCCCCTATTATTTAGCCATCAACTTAACCAGCATTTCCTATTTAAGAAAATAATAGTTTCAATACAATGCAATTAGGCTAACCTGTAACATTAGGGATGCCCATTGATTCATTTTAATAGCATTCTTCTCTAAATTTGTTCAATTAACCTTAATTAGGTATTGTATAGACTCCTCCTCTTCAATAAAATTAATAATTGAATTAATTTTCAATGTAACCTACTTAATAGTAAAATCCTTCTTTAGGACTTTATTCAAATTCATTTTAATAATAAACAACATTTGGATAATAATAATAAAATGCCTTTCAAAATCAAACCTAATAAAATTAAGGATAGTAAAATCAAGCAAATTAATAGGACGTTAAAAAATTAAGTACTCGACCATTATATTCAAATAATAATAATCCATAATAATAATAATAATAATAATAATAATAATAATAATAATAATTTTTCTAATAACCTTAAAAGTAAGAAAATAATTTTTTTGAAAAAAGTAATGATCCCTGGAGTGCTTTTAACTAAGGTACCACACAAGATCCTTGGGCATAATTTTAAAATCCGGTAATTTAAAATTAAAATTAAAATTAACCTTAAAATTAAAATTAGGGAATTTGGGGAATTTAATAATAAACCTCATAATAGACTTAAAATCAACAATCATTAAAGAATAAGTATGCCAGCTTTGATGAGTTAATATGAAGTATTTTACAAATTATATTATAAAACTTAATCAAATTTCTAATCTCAAAGGTTAAGAAATCCAAAAGAAATAAAATATTTCGCTTCCCAATATAACAACAATCAAAATAATTGATGAAATTTAAACACATTTTAAATCACTGTCATAATCTCTAAGAATAAAATACTAATTACATTTTCATCAATTATTTAGCAAATGCAAATGCCAATAAAGTGCCAAAAACATAAGAGCCTAGAATTCCTATGTAATCTATGATTTCCCAAAACCAAGCTTACCAGAAAAATATAATTAAACCACCTAGTATCATTCCAACCATTTAATATCTCCCTGAACCTGAATAACTCCATTTATCCCACTTTAATAAAGTGTATCCAAACAGCACTCCATCAAAAGTAGAAGGTACTAAAACGCCATTAATATGCAATTTAGATGTGTAACAACAGCTAAGTAATGTGCCTCCAAATCCACCAAATATACTTATCATCCATAATTTCTTCCAACCTAACAATTTTTCTACATATGAACCAAATATTGCAACAGCAACTTAACAAGAAAAATAATTGATAAAATTTGAATACAATAGAAGACTTAAAAACAATCTTTAAATCTCTTATTCATATTTAATTCGATATGGATATAACATACCTAAAGAATATAGAGACTAAGAATTAAATAATAATTTATACGTTTTAATTGGGTTCAAGAAATTATCCACCATCTTTTATATCACCACTTACTATTAAAATTATAAAGTAAAATGAATTCAATATGATAAGTATTGTTGTCATACTTTATAATTTAAAAGTTGGAAGGCAGGTGTAAGTAATCATCTCAGTAAATTTTTCATCTCTTGGATATTTTAAAGAATTCTAAAAATTTACTACATAATAAATATGATATACTAAAGTATGGAGGATCTGAATCTTAACTTCTCCAAATACTCATTAATGCTTAAGGTGTTGGCTATCCAGTTGATGATTAAGCAAAACTCATTAATATATATTTTTATTATATTAAATAATTTTATTTTAATTACCGCCAAAAAAAAATGAATGATTAAGAGCAGAAAGATTTTGAAAGAAATTTGTATGCATATTATAAGCATCTTTTTCCAATCTAAATGATTGTTGAATGGTTAACATATGCAAAGGATAATCCACCTGAATAAAAGTATTTTAATAGAAGAGAATTTTCATTTGAAAGGAGTTTAGGTGGAGACACTTTTTATTAAAGATATTAGCAATTTCAAAATGCGTATGGTCTTTAAAAATTCCTCTTAGATAACTAATAAAATGATGAAACATCATCTCTTATAAAATATGATATTGGTGCTGTTTTTGATAAATTACCTAAAAAGGGTGAAAAGCTTAAAGCTTTGGAAAAGGAAATTGTAATAGATATTGATATGGATGCATATGATGAAGTTCGTACTTGTTGTTAAGGAGCAAAAATATGTGAAAAATGTTGGAAATTTCTTTAAGTAGCTTGTGAGATTTTGAGACCAGCTTTATTCTATGATTTTGGGTTGGAACACATTTTAGCAGTTTATTCAGGAAGAAGAGGAATACATTTATGGGTTTGTGATAGTCATATAAGAAAATCTACAAATGAAGTCAGATCAGCTATTATAGGATATTTGAATATTAATATTGGTAATGCAGATTCTGAGGAAATTATAAAAGAGATAAAATAAGAGAAAATAGAAAAATTACATCCTTCTATTTAAAGAGCATATATGATAGCACAATAATTTTTTAAATAAATAATCTTAGTTGATCAAAATAGTTTAAAAATTGAAAATGTTAAGAAAAAGATTTTAACAATATTGAAATAAACAAAAATTCTTAATCCTAAATTAGAGAAATTGATTTTGGAAACAAATGATTCTTTTTAGATTTGGGAAATCATTTGTTCTTAAGATTCAGAAAGACTTGAAATTGCTAAATTATAAATAATTTTAATGTGTTTATATCCTCGTCTTGATGCACATGTCAGTACTACAATTAATCATTTATTGAAAGGTCCTTTTAGTATACATCCAAAAACATGTAAATATTATTATAATTATTAGAACGTGTTTGTGTTCCATTCAATCTTAAAGATAGTTCATAATTTAATCCATTAGACACACCTACTTTACCTAATATTATATAATAATTAGCAGAATTACCAAATTAATTGAAATAAAGAGAAAATGAGAATAAAGTATTTCCATTTTTAGGAAAAGAAATACAAAGTTTAAAAAAATATATAGAATTATTTGAAGATTTTATCTCTAAATATAATAAACCAAAAATTAACTGATGAATTAATTATTAAAAACCATATTAATCATTTAATTAAAATATCAGACAAATTATTTTTTATTCTCATCTAATCAAAGACTGTCCATTCCATTTAATTTTATGTACTTGCTCTAGTTTCTCTTAAGTTTCGTTGCAAAAATACACCTTTGATTCTATTTGAATAGGTTGTTGTATAAGATTTAACAAATTATGAGATTCGATTTAATTATTATTTATCTTAAATAATTGACCAATTAGGTAAATAATTTATATGTAAACAATCATCTTATAAACAAAACTAAACATAATACATATCTTACTCTAAATAATACTCGTTGTGCTTATTCCCATTATAAATCTAGCAACGCAAAAGATAAGTTACTTAATTGTACCTCTTCAGTTTTAGTTGGATCTAACTCGTATTTGTCATTGTTTGACTTAAACAAGAAATCAAAGAAAGAATCTGTCAATTTATCATTTATTAAACTGGCTAAATGTTTGCAACAATCTGATAGCATTTTATCTATTGTATAGAAAAGAAAAGCCTAAAAAGGTTATTATAAACATTCACTTGTTTTCCAAATAGTAAACTTAAATAGTCTTGATATTTAAAATCTTTATTTTTAATTGAGTAAAGTAGAGCATTCTTAAATAACTTGTATCTAATTTCAATTATTTTCTATTTTTCTTTTTCATTCAATTCTAAAATTAAATAATTAAATACTTTCAAACTTTTCATTTTATTCAAAATTCTAACTAATTTAATGTGCTAATTCAATTCTTTGATACAACGAATAGAAATATCGAAAAAATAAATATATTCCAGATGTTCCATAAATGATTTTTCCTTAAGGTTTAAATTTACTATTAGTATTTGATAGTAATTATAATTAATTTCTTGGAAATACATCTTCTTCATCAATAAGAGGTGATTTAAGAGTTTTAATTCTTTATAGTTCATAATCTGATTCTTCAAAATCATCTGAGTCTTTTCTATTGTTACTATTTGAATTATTGTTATTTAAATGAGATTTTTTAGTTTATTCTTATTCAATATTAAATTAATCAATATAAGAAAATGATGAATTAGTAACATATTATTCAATAGCTGATAAGTCTCCTCTCAAAAGTGAAAAATTATAATTCTAATCAATTAACTCAAGATTAAAATAACCTTAACATAATTTTTAGAATAAATCAAGAATCCATTCTGATTCATTCAAATTTGATTATTCAACATAATATTTAAAAATCTCAAATGTTTCTTCTAAAAGAGTTTTATTAGAAATATATAAACTAAAAACAGTACTTTAATCGATTTCATTAATATTAACATATTTTTCATGACTCAGAGGTTTAATAGTAGTTAATTAGACTAAAGAATTTAAATATTCTGCTTAAATTGCATTATTTGCTTATATCTATGTATATTTTTCATCAGGTTCTTTTAGAAATCTGGAAGCACAAGTATATTATTTTTCATTTTTCTTAAAATAAAAAGATCGATGATCTAAAGATCTTGAAAAATTGTTTTTTTAAGTAATTTTCCATGTTTGATTGGCTATTTCTCTAGATTTAATTAATTCCTAACATTTTTAATTTAATCTATCTCTTAATATAGGAGAACATCCTATTGGATTCTTTTACCATAATGTTATAACTTCCTCTTAATCCTTACTATTAGTTTTGTATACTGATTATAAACACTTAATTTGAAGTATTTTTCTAATTTACTATTCTATTGCTTATTAATTATTTCCTGCTATCAATTAATCTAATAACTATTTTATTTATAATATTTTTTTACTTTAATAGTTCTTCTATAACAATTAATATTGACATCATATTCAAACATTTCATCTTCTATTTTGAATAATTGTTCTTCAAAACTATTTTTTCTCATGATTGAAAATGAATAATCTTCACTACCAAATGGTACAGATACCCAAAGATGATTTAATACATTAGGTAATTTTGGATCTTCTTTCATTATGTTTGCATAACCAGGATGCATTCTAACATATGAACCTGTTATATGTTCAGCATTCTTAAAGTCAGTATCTTTAAGTGGTTTAAATAATTATGTTTATTAACGACGTGCAGGTGCTCTTGTAAAAATAGCTATTCTAAGTTCATCTATAATCTCCTAATCAATCCATGTATGTGATGACAAAATATCCATAAGTTCATATTAAGTAATTATGCATTCTGTATATAAATGAATGACATTTACAAATTCATAAAAAAATTGATTAAAATCAGATTCTTATGTAAAATGGCTAAAACACTTTAATCTTAGTTTATCCAATACAATTATTTCATTTTTAATCTCTCTGCTTACTTAGAGTTAATAAGCATTATTGTAAAAATATTATGTATAATAAGCTTAATATGATTATATTTCTTCCATTGTAGGAGGATTAGGTTTAACTTTTTTGTTTTTCATATCTTCCCAATCTAATTGAATTTTTTACTTCTATTTTTTCAATTTAAAAGCATTTTGAATTTCTTTAAGAGCTTCTGGATCATCTTTAAATTAGATTGATATTAACTAGAATATGATATAAAAGTTATAATTACATCTAATTATTACTGTTGGTCTAAGTTTCCCTTGAGTATTAGATTTTTTGTTTACTCTAGGAGATTAATTCTATTCTTATCTTATTTAAAAATGGACTCTAATTATTAAATAGCATCATTTGATTTGATGCGGG